CCCGGTGTCACCCAGCGCCGCGTCCCAACCCTGAGTCAATATTGACTCTGCGGGGTGTGGGATGAGGAAGGGGGGGGAGGGGGTGGGGGGCTCTCAGGTGGCACTTTGAGGACGGTGCCACCCTATAGGGCGGGCTACGTGCCCTATAAACGGAGCCGATCCCACACCCTGGCGGTGTCACCTTTCCCGTGGCACCAGGACATCCTGGTGACGTCCCACCCCCCCATTCCTTCCCCCCCCCTTTTGGGTCCCGCACCGCTGACCCCATAAGCAGACGTGGCGCACCGCCATTGTCACCCATACGGGACACCCGGGGACATTTGGGGTTGCACCCGGGACACGTTGTAGGGTCCCCGCTCAGCTCCGAGCCTTTGGGGTCTGTCACCTCTCTATGGGGTCCCGGCCAAATCCTTGGGGTCTTTTCTCAGCCATACGGGTCCCACATTCACCATGGGGACCCCTCCTCATCACAGGGGTCCCCAGTCACCCAGCACCCCTCCTTCCTATAGGGCCGGCGCTGACCATGGGGTCTTCGCTCCTTATAGGGTCCCTCCACGCTATGGGGTCCAATTGGCCACAGGGGTCCCCACTTCCTATAGGGTCCCCACTTCCTATAGGGTCTCCACTTCCTATAGGACCCCTCCTCACCATGGGGTCTCCATTCACCAAGGGGTCCCCACTTCCTATAGGGTCCCCACTTTCTATAGGATCCGTCTTCACTATGGGGTCCCCATTCACCACGGGGGTCCCCAGTTGCTATAGGATCTCTCCACACTATGGGGTCCAATTGGCCATGGGGGTCCCCACTCCCTATAGGGCCCCTCCTCAACATGGGGTCCCCATTCACCACGGGGGTCCCCACTCCCTACAGGACCCCTCCTCACCCTGGGGTCCCAATTCATCACAGGGGTCCCCACTTCCTATAGGGTCCTATAGGACCCCTCCTCACTATGGGGTCTCCGTTCACCATGGGGGTCCCCACTTCCTATAGGGTCTCCACTTCCTATAGGATCCTTCCTCCCTATAGGGTCAGCACTCACCATGGGGTCCCCACTCCCTACAGGACCCCTCCTCACCCCGGGGTCCCATTGGCCATGGGGGTCCCCACTTTTTATAGGGTCCCCACTTCCCATAGGGTCCCCACTCCCTACAGGACCCCACCTCATTATGGGAGTCCCCACTTCTTATAGGACCCTTCCTCACCATGGGGTCCCCATTCACCAGAGGGGTCCCCACTTTCTATAGGGTC